CGCTACCTACTGCGCCACTGCCTCGCCAGCTTAGTCGACATCTAATGTAAATATCTATGGAATTTAAAGATACATGCTAATTGTAGTTTCTGTCATAACTTTATCAAAAAGAAATAAAATAAAAATCAGCGCCTATTGTAACTTCAGATTCTTTGTAGCTTCTGCTTCAGAAACTAGCATTTACTGTAGCAATCTGAAGCTATTATGAAATCTATTATTTTGACCAGTTCGGTCTCAGAAACCCTTGGCTCTAGCAATTTATTGTAGCCTTAGATTGTAGCTTTGATTCATCTGTAGCATCTGCCTCAGAAACTAGCAAACGTTTATTAACTGTTGGTCAAATATGCTTCATGTATAATCTGAAGGGACTAAGGGTGTCACGATTTCGATTTTAATCGAAAATCGATCAAAATTTATGCTCGATTTCGATTATCGAATTAAAAAATAGAATCGTCGATGCTGCCAAGCCCCCATGTCACGTCAGCTTGGCTTGCCAAGCGGGAAAAAACACACTTGTTGAAGTGCTTGTTAAACTGTGCAGACGCAGGAGACCCATCGTCAGAGCTTAAACCCATCAGGGCTCGACAAAAAGGACTGCCCGATAGCCCGGAGCCAGCGTGCGAGATGCTCGGGTCAGTGTACAGTGCTGCCTTGTTGACTGACAGATTGAGCCAGAGCTGCGTGCTGCGACTGTCTGTCAATTGTGTGCAAATACAATCTTACGGTGCTTTCACACATAGACGTTTGTTTCGGAATCTGTCTCGTTTCCCCCGTTAGTTTGTTTGACATATATCCAGCAGTTGCGCTCGCATCAGCGCCAAATCAATCAGTCCGAGATCGCCTGAATGAGACGGTCTCTGCCCTATTGAGCGGATCGATTGTAGTGAGAAAACAAAACAATGCAACGAACTAACGACCCAGGCTATATCACAGTGTATTATGATCGTGTAATAGCCATATATACGGCTATATGAAGAAAAAAATGATGAGCAGGGCCAGATGTCATTCTTACCGGTAAATGCGAAAGTGAAAGCATGCTGACATATTACCGAGAGCTGTTTATCCAGCCTGATCTCGGTTTATCCGTCAGGAAAATTAACCGAAATTACTATCTGTTAATTTTTCCATATTTTAATCGTATAATATGTTGTATTAGGCCTGTTGTTTTGTTCATTTCCGCACTGACAGCTCGAAAGAAAGATTTACATTGATCTGATGCAGTCTCGGTTCATCTGCTATGTCTCTCTATAATTTAAGCCTATAATGCAGAATTCTAGCCAACGTTTCTTTAATAGATTGATTAATTCAATAGATCGATTTTTACAAAACCTGACAATTGAAATGAGGCTCTGTATATATGAGAAAGTCTGACCTCTGCTTTATATTCGGTGACGATGTCTGTGGGTTGTTAAAATTAAAGTGCACATTTTCACTTATAAAATATTCTATACACAACTGCTCTAAAGTTTGGGGTCAGTATGATTGTTAAATATGTTAAACTAAGCTTCTTCTGCTCACCAAGGCTGCAATTATTTCATCATAAATACAAATTATGAAATGTTGCACTATAAAATAACTGTTCAAAAGTAGTTTATCATTTAATTTATTCATTTATTCCAGTGATTTTAAAGATGAAATTTCAGCTTCATTACTCCAGTCACATGATCCTTCAGAAATCACTAATATTAATTATTATTATATTTATTAATGGTAATTGTAACAAAAGCAATAATGTCTGGAGTAATCATTTTATTTGAAACTACATACAATAACAAAGTAGTTATTTAAAATTTTGAAAAATATTTAACAATTTAACAATTTTTACATTTAAAAAATGTAGCCTTGATGAACTGAATAAGTTTTCCTAAAAACATTTTAAAAATTACTGTAAATATATATATACAGTGGAAGTCAGAATTATTAGCCCCTCTTTGTTGTTTTTTTCTTTTTAAAATATTTCCTAAATGATGTTTAACAGAGCAAGGAAATGTTGATAGTATGTCTGATAATATTTTTTCCTCTGAACAAAGTCTTATTTGTTTTATTTTGGCTAGAATAAAAGCAGTTATTAATTTTTTATGAACCATTTTAATGTCAAATTTATTAGCCCCTTAAGCTAATTGTTTTTCAGACTGTCTCCAGAACAAACCATCCTTATACAGTAACTTGCCTAATTACCCTAGCCTGCCTGGTTAACCTAATTAACCTAGTTAAGACTGCTTCAATCTTTTACTTTCACACTTGTACTTAGTCATTTTAGCAAACACCTCAGATACTGTTGGCTGGTTCCTGTTGGTTGTGCACCTTTTTTTACCGGCGCCATAATAACGACAGAGATCACTGCCTATTCACGAGTCCCGCAGAAAAAGTGATTGACAGGTGGTAATTATGTGTGTAACTTGCCTTTATTCATTTACTGTATGATTTGTTTATGGGTAAAACAAAGACCATACAGGTCAGGTAGTTTAAACGGTAGACTACAAATAATTAATTTGTTATTAATTAATTAATTATTCATAATCGAAAATCTAATCGAATCGTGCTTTAAGAATCGAAAATGTAATCGAATCGAGAATTTGGAGAATCGTGACACCCCTAGAAGGGACAATGAAAAACATTGCTAATGGTTGCTGTCACAATCACATTTAAAAATTTAGCTTTAGACTTTGTAGCTTCTGCTTCAGAAAGTAGCGATTTGCGATCTGAAGCTTTCATAAAAGATTATTTATTGATAGCTTCAGTCCCAGAAACCCTTTCAATGTATTGTAGCTTCAGATTGTAGCTTTGAAACATTTGTAGCATCTGCCTCAGAAACTAGCAAAAGTATATTCATTGGTGGTCAAATCATATATGCTATATTTACAATGCATGCTAATTGTAGTTTCTGTCATAATTTAATGAAAAAAATCAGAGTCTGATTGTACCTTTAGATTCTTTGTAGCTTCTGCTTCTGAAATTAGCATTTAGTGACCTGAAGCTATTAAGAAAAATAGTAGTCTCAGATTGTAGCTTTGAATCTTTTGCAGCATCTGCCTCAGAAAGGAGCAAAAGTTTATTAATTGTTGCTCAAATCATGTAGAATTTGAAGGTACAATGAAAAAGATTGCTAATTGTTTGTCACAATTCTAATAAAAATTCAGCTTCAGAATGTAGCTTCAGATTCTTTGTAGCTCCTGCTTCAGAAAGTAGTAGCAATTTAAAGATATTGTGAAAAAAATATATTACTTATTGAAATTTTCTGTCTAAGAAACCCTTTGCTCATGCAATTCATTGTAGCTTCAGATTGTAGCTTTAAAACAAGTGTAGCATCTGCCTCAGCAACTAGCAAAGGTTTATTCATTGGTGTCTCGAATAACAATGTAGCCTACTGTATATGCTATGTAGAAGCTGTTTGAAGCTGTTTCAGAAACTAGCAAGTTTATTCACTGTACATTCAGATTTTACATGTCAATATATAAATCTCAGTGTAATCTGAAGCTTCAATAAATTGCTAGTTTCTGACATAGAAATCTATACTTCATCTATAAGCTTCATATTTTAGCTTTAGATGCTTTTTAGCTTCTGCTTGAGAAAGAGTATACATATTAGCTTTAGACTTTGTGTAAAAATCTGCAGATATGTGCTTTCTGTAATCTGAAGCTAATGTAAATAAAATTGCTAATTGCTAATTTCTGGCTCACAGTTCCCTCACAAGATAGCATCAGATTGTAGCTCTGGATTCTTTGTAACATCTGCCTCAGAAACTAATAATTAGCAAGTCTATTCATTGTGGCTAAGGGTTTTGTCTGGTAGATTAGATTTTGTACCAACGTTTGCTTTGTAATCCGAAACTGATCAATTGGCAGAAGCAAAAACTAGTGATTAGCAAGTTTATTTATACTACATAAACGCTTAACCATAATGAATTGCTAAATGCTAATTTTTCATAATTGTATTACAGTTCTGTGGGGTATTGTGTTATACAGAAATATGGGATCATTTGAAGCTACAGTGCCTAAACTTAAGCAAGTTTAGTCGCTGGTTTTGAATCAGATCTTAAATCCACAGCTAGCATTTAGCCATTTCTTATTAGCAACAGAGTTGGTGAGTGTCAGCCAAGCTTGAGTCTGCTTTTTGTAGTGTCCAAACTGTCTGAATTCATATCTGCTAGCAATAAATGTTGTATAAAGGCATTTTAAATATTTTTTTTGTTTCCATTTGACTTTTAGAAGTGCAAAATTTAGATTTATATAATTTCTGTTATTTTTTGTTTGTGCTATTAACATTTAATGTATCCTTATATCAAATTTTTTGTTCAATGAGTTTAGTCTTAACAAACAACACTGGTGCTTAATTGCTGCTAATTGCACAGATTAAGTCTTTACTGTATGTACACTGCAAACACGAGACTAGCTAACTGCTAAGAGAAGCCTGAATCCAACAGATGCATACATGAAAATTTTAAAAACTAAAAAAACAAAGTTGTTAGTTAGTGAATGAAAGATGTTAATGCTAATGTAGAAAACAGCCTATGAGTCCTAACCCCATCCGTCTCTTTTTCCACACCTATCCTTTCGTTTCACAAAGGGGTTTAAGTGCTTCCTCCCAATCGTTAACCTCTATCTATCGTTCTCTCTTTCCCCTGCGTTTAAACTGTTTGTCTTTTTCGAGAGGGCCTTTTTGAGGGTGTGAGAGGCTAATGGTTGTATTGATTGGCAAGTCCTTGTGATTATTTGAAAGCGCTGCGCCATTATAGCTGCTTGTTTTTCACATCTGAAGTGACAGTTTATTGGTAATCAAGTTTAGCTCAATATACATACCTAAAACGCATTTTACGTCTGGGTGTTACTATGAAAGGAAAGAAGAGCTATTGATTGCGTCATCTTTTTCTTTGTCTGTCATTTATTATGAGGTGAAAAAGTTAGAGTCAGTGTATTTATGACATTGTCAATGCACTGTTGTTGTTTCTGACACACTATCTCTCTCTATCTCTCTCTCTCTCTCTCTCTCTCTCTCTACAGGAGTGTGCAGGTGAACCGCTCTTCATGCTATACTGTGCTATGAAACAGCAGATGGAAAAAGGCCCTATAGATGCCATCACTGGAGAGGCCAGATACTCCCTCAGCGAGGACAAACTCATCCGACAGCAGATTGACTATAAGACTCTGGTCAGTTGATGCACATACTTAGTACACAGCACACAACATTTCCTTCTTTATGGCTCTATATTTCAGATTATACAATAAAATCTGCCATAATTGCCTGTTAAAGCATATACTGTAATCACCGTTTTAAAAATTTTCCAGAAATTAATCGAATTTTGCAATTGGATTTCCAAAAACTACTAAAAAGCAACAGTTTATTCAATTGTACTCTTCAATGCACTTTGTTAAAAGTAATTAATTGACTGTTACGTGTTTAGATCGATATTTATGCATTAGGATTATCCCCTTGAGATGTACCATCTCATTTTCAAGGGGGTCCCACAATTATTCACAATCACATAATAACAACACCAGAAGACAAAACCAAAACATAAAAATACACAACATCCAAAAAACACATACACACACACACACACAAAAAAAAAAAAAACATTGACAAAAGGGGAAGTAGTACACTTATACAAGTAGTATACATAGCACAAAAAGATCAGTGAATCAAATTACCACATAAATAATAACATCCTCAGGAAAAACAAGTACAGTTCCAAGTAAAATATGACAGCACAGTTTGCGGAACCACCTTAAATGATGCAATGGAACGAATGTTAGCAGGTACACTGTAAAAAAATAAATCCATAAAATTTACGGTAAAAAAAACAGCAGCTGTGGTTGCCAATATTTTACCGTTAAAAATACGGTACAAACCGTAAAAGTAATTTCTAATTTTTACAGTAAACTACCGTATTTCATTAATTTATAGATGAGGTAATATGTCTGTATTTTGAATTACCAACATCTACACATCTTTTGATACACAGATAGACACGTTAACACAGCCCTATGCAGGTGGTGATGAAAAAGTTACGTAATGAACCAATGCTCATCACAAACAACTTTTCCCACAAGCAGAAAAGTGTATCAGTGTATAGAAAGTGCTCAGTGTCATTCACACAGCTACTAAACACCAGTATTGTAACACGCATAAAATTAGTCATGAAATAAACATCGTTTATCAACATTAGATGTAGCATAAATCTCCAATGTACATAACTGATGGGGAAACAACTTAAAAGATCCATATTAATGTCAAGAAAAAGCATAAAAAGTGATGTGCCATGCAGGGAATTCTGGGAAAGTCAGTTTACAGTTACTCGCCGTATATATTAAGAAAACATACTGTTAACCAGGTTACGGATTTTTACTGTAGCAATTTTACAGTTTTTTATCAGTGAAATCACATTTTTTACTGTGTAAATTATTCCAAATCTGTTGGACCCTTAAACATAAAAGCTCTTTTAACAATAGATTTTTTTAAATGAGGAACAAAAAAACAAGTATTTTTATAGTTATAAATAATAAGGATACTTAAAATGGATACATTTATATATAAATTGAAGCCAGTGAATATGTGCAAAGATGCCCACTACAGTAAATTATACATTATACAGCAATATGTATAAAAAGTCTGCAAAGTCTGTTATATGCCTTATTAGAAGGAGCAAGATCTAATGTTGATGCAGTGTGATAAACAATATCACAATAATCGAAAATTGGAAATATAGGTTGAAGAGCAAGTTTCTTGCGAACACTAAATGAAAAGCAATGTCTAGACCGATGTAAGGTACTAATTCCAAGGTTGACTTTACTCTTAATATGAATAATATGTGATTTAAAGGAAAGTTCAGAATCAAGCCACACTCCAAGGTATTTAATTGTATTAACTTTATGAAAAGAAGTACTGTCATTACATAATATAGAATAGGAGTAACGTTTTTGATTTAAGTTTTTTTTTTTTTTTTTTTTTTTTTTAGTCTGGAACCAAAAATCATAATGTAAGACATAGTTTTATTAAGCACCAATTTATTATCTAAAAGCCAATTTTGTAAAAAATTAAAATCATACTGAAGGAACAACTGAGATTGTTAAGTTGACTTAATAATTATCATAATGCATAATTCATTTAGGCACTGTAATTAAATACATTTAAGATGCTTAATATGCATTCAGTTTAAAATGCAAACATACAGAAGCTGATACAGGAAGACTGACAAAAGAAGAGACATTTTAAAGGGATAGTTCACCAAGAACTACTCACTATTTACTCTCCCTCAAGTGGTTTCAGTGTTTATTGGAATTTTTGTGTTCGCGAACCCCAAAGAAGATACTTTTAACCATTGACTTCCATAGTAGGAAAAACAAATAATATGGATATTATATTATGTAATATGCTGGTAACAAGTTTACAACATTTTGTCAAATCTTCTTTTGTGTTCAACAGATGAAACTCATAAAGCTTTGTAAGTAAACAAGAATGAGTAAATGATGACAGAATTTTCTGTTTTGGTGAACTACCTCTTTAAGCTTTATTTATAGACACAGAACACGATTACTGAATATTTTGTAGTGCTGAAACAAATCAACAATTCCTTTTTTTGACTTGATATTTAACCCACAAATGACTGTGAAAAACATATAACTACCACTTTTTGAACTTTCCAGAAATGTTAGAATTGATTTTTTTTTTAAGTTGTACTCTTAAATGTACTCTGTTAGACATGATTAGTTGACAATACTTTAAATCGCGAGTAAACCTGTTGGAACTGTTACATTTATTTATTTTGTATAACCATGCACCATTCATTTACTTAATCAGTTTAAGGCAATGGTTTTACTTACTATTTTAAGTAAATGTATTGTGAATTGGAGCTTCTGGAAAAATGCTAACGTTAGCCTGATAGCACTGATGTCCCACCTTGCAAATCATCATACAAAGACATGCCTCCTGAACACACACTAGACAACATCAATACAAAACATCACATAACATTCACTGGAGAGACAACTTTTTAGCACATTTAGTAATGACACTATCAAAAAAAAAAAAAAAAGGTTTGTTGGTGTCTGTGAATGCAGCAGAGATGCCGTAATCTTTTCTGAGCACACAGGGTGTGCAGAGGTATGCAATTACATATTTTGACTGGCAGGTAGGACAGCCAATCATTATGCTTGGACCAAACGTTGTGATTGGACAATCTTTGGTCCCACTCCTTTCAAAGAATACATATAAATAAATTTGGACCACTGATTTTAATGATTTCTCTCAGAATGTGAAGAGACTTTCAACATACTATAACATTAATTGTTTTAGCATAACAAAAATTGTTTCTGAAGACAATCACCTATTACAGCATTAAGTAAAGCCCTGTCTTACAATGTTTAGCTGTATATAATGTGTTTCATCCTGAAATACAATCGTTTTTTACGATTCAGATTGTTTTTAGCACTCAAACTAAAGGCTAATGAATGATAAATCACTTATACCGATTAATCTTCTCTCCTTTCAGACTCTTCATTGTGTGAACCCGGAGAACGAGAATGGCCCAGAGGTGACAGTAAAATGCCTGAACTGTGACACAATCACCCAAGTGAAAGAGAAGCTTCTGGATGCTGTGTATAAAGGAAGTCCATACTCGCAGAGACCCAAAGCAGGAGACATGGACCTGGGTAAGAGCTTTTGAGTTAGACAATGGAAAAATAAGACTGAAAATAGATTTTCACGCAAGCAGTGGGTAAATCTAAACACTGGATATCTTAATCCCATGTTAACAGAATAGTTTACCCAAAATTGAAAATTCTATCATCATTTAGCCATCATTCCCTTATCACAAACCTTTTGTTTCTTTCTTCTGTTGAACACAAAAGAAAATATTTTGAAAAATGCTGAAAAATCTGTAACTGTTGACATCCATAGTATTTGTTTTTCCTATATGGAAGTCAATGGTCAGAGGTTTCGAGCATTTTTCGAAATAACTTATTTTGTGTTCAACAGAAGAAAGAAACTTAAACAGGTTGGAGTAAACAATGAGTAAATTTTTATTTTGGGGAGAACTATCTATTAATAACTTGTTTCACACTACCGTATCAAGCCTTATGTTGTTGTAAAATTTGGATCAAAAGTGAGCCAAGCCTTCTCTAAATCTCTAAAATAAAGCAGCAGAATTTAATTTCAATCCTCAAATCTATTTTGTATAAGGAAACAACCTCATCTTCATCACAAAGCCCTGTGAATATCTAATCTTTCCCTCATCAGTTTGGAATCTTTCATCAATGTTTTGATTCAATCACTCGTTTTTAACTAAAGCCCCAGTCAGATCACATGATGATTGTGGGTTACGAAAGTCACTATGTCAAATTAATGCGATAAAATTTTTTATTTTTATTTTGTATTTTTCTTGATAAAATCTAGAATACATTCCTTCATGATCAGTTATCCTGAGCGTTATTTCTCAAAGCAGTCACAAGTGTTGCTATAATAATATTCCTTATCTCAATTTAAAATCTATTTTATCAATCTCAATAAACACTGATGCTTGCAGACAACTAATAACTACATTATTTAACGGCATTCATAACGATATGGATAGGATCAAACTTATGATTCCTTTTTAATCCTAAGATATTTTCTTTGAAATCTAAATGTATATTTTCCAGCCAAGGTTGCTTATTATAAACGCCTGAACTTTGCGCGAGTAAGACAGAGAAAATGAAAGCACATCAGCACCAAGCTAAAAATCAGATGCTCAAGACATAATCTTTAAAATAATGACGTATTAAAAATTTAGCAAATATATAACTGAGATTTTTGATACAGCAATCACAGTGAAGCATTCGTTAAATCCTTATTTTCTACAGAGCAAAGCAAATCATCCACCCGTATAGTTGAGTAGTGCACAGACACTAACAAAAATAGAATTTGTATATTTTTCTTGGCAAAAATAACTTTTTAAAATGAATTTCATTTGTTATAATTTTATCTTAATTATAATGTATGTTATGTTGGTCAGTTATCTATAAACAAGAATAACGAATAACATTTCAGGTGAAGCACTTCATAAGAAGTCCGCTATATGCAACGAAAGATGAATTGCCGCGTTGGTTTGTTAAAAAAAAATAAAATCATAATCTAAATTGAATCTTGTGTCACGATGCCCTTTTGCATTTACGAATCCCCACGACACCCTACGTCAAGGAAATCATGCCGAAATCGTGACATATTCATGTGATCTGACCGGGGCTTTAGGTAAAGGGCTTATTTTCTGACGCTAAAGGTACCTGCATAATTGAAAAAGTTTAGGAGGACCATATTCATGAACGTTAAAGCAGCAGATTCTTATTGTCTGTGTGTGTTTGGTGTGTGTGTTTGGAGTGTGCATGTGTGTGCCAGTAGTTTTTGTGGTGCAAAAAGGGTTTTATAGCTGGTGGGTCAAACCCAGAGGACAATCGTTGTGCCCTGAATGTGTACAGCCTTTGTACTTTGCCCTGAAATTGTAATTATTCCTAGGCAGTTCAAACTCTACATTTGAAAACCCTGGGTTAATGTTCTCATTTGCATATTTATGAGGTCAATGCGATTGATTGGCAAATAACCTGTTTTTTTTTTTAATAAGAGCCCGTCCAGCTTTGAATATGTTGACATATTAAAGTGTTTCTGAGCTGTACAAAGCACATGCATATTTAATGAGGTAAGCACTGAGGCGCAGTATATGATCAGTTGTCTTTTGCTAAATAATTCACTGTAATACTCTAGTACTCCATCACTGTATAGTGTAAAAGTTTTCCACTGCGGTTGAGGGGGATTTCATAACCCAGGGTTAAAAGTGGGGCTAACCCCATTTCACATTTACAAGAGAGAAATGTTGCCTCAGCCAAGGTTAAAAAGAGTATAACCCTGAGTTAAATGTAGTGTGAAAAAGCTGTCGAGAGATTTGCAGTTTGGATGAATTGATGGCAGAGCAGTTGTGCTACAAAGTAAATAAGTGAAAAATCGCTTGATGTATAGAGATTATTTTTAGGAAGGTTTCATAGTTGGTTGTAATTAAAGTTAATGACCAATTAATTGAATTAACCATTGATTTCTTACTATTAATGGGCCATTAATTATGCCTCAGTCAAGTCTTAATTTATTAATGGTTTATAAACGGTTATTTATGTAGTAGTTCGGTTTAGATATTGGGTAGGATTAGGGATGTCGAATTAAATAATACTTTACTAATAAACAACTAATATCTTATTAATAGGCATGTAATAAGCCACTAATTATTAGTGGGAATTGGCACATAAGTGTTACACAAACACAACTGGAACTGGATATGGAATTTATTTGTTTATTTATTGTATCTGTATACAATTATAATGTTTAATTTAGATGCAATATTATATGTAGCAAATATATCACAGACAGAACTTACTTTTTACTAGTTATTACATTCATATTATCAATAATTCATATTATCACTTGTTTTTAAATCCATTGTTATGTAGACATAAACTACTTTTTAATTCCATATGTATTTTTTAATTCCATAATAATACAATTTTGGCAGTTTTTAATTCCATTATTATATGGACAACTATACAGTACTTAAAATCACTGTGAATATTGCTATTTTAGTACATTTAAGATGTTTTAGTACATTTAAGATGTTTAAAAGCATGAATTCAAAAGCTGATAAATAAAGACTGACAAAAGAAACTCTGTTTATAACATTTTCCCCTCTGTAAATTTCTTCTTTTGTGTTCAGCTGAAGAAAGAAATGTGTAAAGGTTTGAAACAAGACTTAGTAAATGATGATATTTTGATATTGAAAAAGTATTAACACATGAAGAAAGGTGTAGAAAGGCAGTGAAAGCCCAGAAATCTCTCAGTAGTTCTTCAGCAACCCTCTGCTCTTCGTCATTGTAAATTAATATTATCTGCTTCAGTCCAACATCTACATTATCAGGATGATGAAGATGAAACCAGGGTGGACATTTCAGCAAGACAATGATTCAAAACACAGCCAAGGAAACTCTCAAATGCTTTCAGGAAAAAATATAAAACTGTAGAATGGCCCAGCCAATCACCTGACTTGAATCCAATATAAAATACAAAATAAAGATCAGATTTATAATTAAAAATAATTAACCTGAACTACGCATGTGACTTCATTCTATAATCCAATTTTGTATTTATTATCTTTAATGCTTAGTTCATATATATTATACACAGCACATATTTTAATTCCATGATTATATGGACAATTATACAGTACTTAAAATTAATTTCAATATTGCGATTTCAATACATTTAAAATGTTTTATATGCATTGGATTTTTAAATAAAAGGAATTCAGAAGCTGATAAAGAAAGACTTACAGAAGAAACTCTGTTTACAACATTTTCCTTCAGTAAATATATTCTTTTGTGTTCAACAGAAGAAAGAAACGTATAAAGGTTCGAAGCAAGAGTTAGTAAATGACGACAGAATATTTGGTATTGAAAAAGTATTCAACACATGAAGAAAGGGGGCTGTAGAAATTCAGTGAAAGCCCAGACAGCAGCTGAAATCTTTCAGAAGTTATTCAGCAACCCTCTGCTGAATCATTTAGTCATTGTAAATTAATATCAGCTGCTTTAGTTCAACATCTACATTACCAGGATGATGAAGATGAAACCAGGGTGGATATTTTAGCAAGGCAATGATCCAAAACACAGCCAAGTAAGCTCTCAAATGCTCTCAGAGAAAGAAAATCAAGCTGTAAAATGGCCCAGCCAATCACCAGACTTCAGTCTAATAAAAATCCAAAATATAGACCCACAGAACCATCAAGATTGTTACACTCATACAAATATCTTTGTTTGCATTCAACAGAAGAAAGAAACAAGGTTTGATTAAAGACTGAGTAAATGATGACAGAAAACTACCCCTTTAAGCTTCATTTATAGACACGGAATACAATTACCGAACAGTTTTTTTTTGTTTTTTGTTTTTAGAAAGTAATTAACTTGAATTAATAAACTAAATTATTAGCATCCCTATAGCACGTCCCTATAATCAAATGCCTCTGTTCAAAAGCAGGTACTGCCAGCTGATACAAATGTTCAGCTTATCAGCAGCTTGATATAAATGAATGCTGAAGTCACCGTCGTGGGCACCAGGGAAATAGACACCGAACCATATCATCCACAGCAAGATCCCATTAGCCAGAGCAGTTCCCAACACGATTGTCATCTGGCTCAGACTGAGTGATGCTATCAGATGCGAATCTCATCTGGCTTTGCTCTGCTCCTTGGCAGTTGTCTTTCAGAAGCGTTTTGGAAATCAGAAACCGCGGCTTCCTCCTGCAACAAGCAAACAAACAAACAGGGAGGCTTGTCGACTCGAAGCGTTTGCTTGTAAGAGGCTTGAAATAGTCAATTCCTACGACCTTGATCAGATCCGCAATTTAGATCTGACCCCGGAGTCAGACTTTCTTGTCGCCTCGCTTAACAGTTTTTTCGCATCTCTTCGACTAGAAAAAAAAAAACTGACTTGACTCTGCACTGGGATATTCGGACAAGGTCTAGACAAGGTTACGTGCTCTAAATGAAGCCTTTCTAAAGAGGAAAGCTTCCCTCAAGTGGTCGTTCGTCCTTGCTGTGGGAGTGATGTGCTCATGTGCGCACACAAAAACAGTGATCCAAATACAACCGCTCGCTTTAGGAGGCTTAGGGGATGTGCTATATTGGAAGATCCAGTGATTCATTTGTAAATTTTGAGGCATTGGAACAAAGTGCTGTGATGGATCTGGCATGTGATTAGAGGAGGGACGGGTAATGGAGCATTCATGCAGTCACTTGAGTGGGTCAACGTAACAACAGTGGGGGAAATAAGTATTGAACACGTAATTTTCTCCCAAAACAGATTTATAAGGGTGCTGCTGACTTGAAATTTTCACCGGATGTTGGTAACAACCAAAGAAAGCCATATATGCAGAGAAAACAAAAGTAATTAGTTCACAAATGAAGTTATGTGTAATAAAATTCAATGACAAAAAGTATTGAACACATGAAGAAAGAACAGCAGTGATATCCCAGACAGCAGCTAAAATCTCTCAGTAGTTCTTCAGCCACACTCTCCTCTTCGTCATTGTAAATTAATATTAGCATATATATTACTTTACTTTTATTATACCTTTTTTTCTACGTTAAATATTGATATTGTTATTGATGTTATTGTTATTATACAACCTTTTTTTTTAAATAAAATATATGCAAGCTAAAGGTCAGCATGGATGTTTTTCACAATGAAGTGCTGGATTTGATTTCAGAGGTGCTGGATCTGGCTTGTTCCAGCACAAATTAAGCCCTGGGAAGATACAGATTTTTTTTTCTCCTGTTTCTATTGGCACACCAGGCTCATGTGGTTTTCTGTTGCAGAGTGGCGGCAGGGGCGGCTGGCGAGGATCATTCTCCAGGATGAGGATGTCACTACAAAGATTGATAATGACTGGAAACGCCTGAACTCACTTGCACACTATCAGGTACGGTCACTGTTCATATCTGAGCCGCTGCTGCTGGGGCCATAAACTTCACTAATATGTGCAATACGTCTAAAAGTATATTGCACCGGTATATTTTTGGCAATAGCATATTTTGGCAATATGGTTCTAAATTATTGATTTTGTTTTAATGGCGAATATTAAGTAAAGAAGTTCTGTGGGTGCTTTTTGTAAATGTCCTACAGCATTCACCTGATTTGGATGTAATTACCCTTAAATTAAACCTGACAGTCTGCAGTTGAAGCACTTTTGTTTGTTTAATTTAAAATCCATTGTGTTGTTGGTATTTAAAGCCAGTAATGTTATAATTGTGTCTATGTCCTTTTTAAAGTACTGCTGTTGGGAATTCTTCGGGAATTCTTTTCATTAATTAATTTTTGGACCTAACTGTACATAATACACTTTTATATGTGTTTTACATACTGTAACAGTGCATTAATGTGTCTGTGTTTGTATTTCTCACTGCCCTTAGGTAACAGACGGGTCAGTTATCGCCCTGGTGCCAAAGCAAAACTCTGCATACAACATCTCAAACTCGTCCACGTTCACCAAGTCCCTCAGCAGATACGGTAGGAACTCTTGATTTTCTCCTTAGAAGCTTTCGTAAACACACCAAAATCACGTCTACAGAAAGATTTGTATTCTCTGCACCTTGGCCTCCATTTTCTTCCTCAAAACGAGGACTCGTGCTAGCATTCTATTCTCGCTTCTCCTGACGGACTCAATGTTTTTCACTATTATTTGTGATGATTTTTTTTTTGGTTTTTTTTTCCGAGCACTTTGGCTGTTTGTGCGAATAAGAGGTGATGATAGCACAGAACTGAAGGTGTTTTGTTCCTCAACTCCCCCCCTCCAAAAAAGAGAAAGCGGATCAGAGAGAAAAAGCTGTTTAATGTTGTCTGTCCTCCTCAAAAGCGAGTATCCATGATTGCCGCCGAATTACATGCACTCAAGCCATGGCTCTCTCATGGCAGACGTCCATTATATTTCCCTTTGAGAGAGGGTTTCATGTCTGGGATAATTCTCTGAGTGCTTCAACACTGGACACGCATTTGTATTGTTGCTCAAGTCGTGATTCGCACGTTGCTTTTGGGAAAAAATGTGATGCTGATGTGAATCATGGCAGTCTGGGTGATTAATTGAATTGAAATTGTCGATTGCCGTGCACGTGTTCTCAAGGATGTACAGTGTGATTTGTAGAAAATCTCTTATGAAGGCCTGAGGGGGTGCTGTTGCAGAAATACACAATCCTGCCTAAATACACATGAAGAAACCAAGGAAATTCTCTGGGGAAAATAGCGGTTCCTGAATAAACAGAAGATTTAACTGCTTTCGTTGATTCAGCATGACTAATAAACACACGACTATGGAACGGACTCACAGATGGATTTGTCAAACACTTGACTGTAGTCTTGAGGTTATTTTGGAGTAAAAACATGTTATATGTAGTAATTTCACATTCAGCTTTTACTACAGACTGTTGTTATTTTTGCACAATGATTATCTTGATGTCATTATTGAATGATAAAATTGAATTAGAATGTAAAACAATGTTTTGAATAGATTATCAGTGTACAACTATATGTAGTAGAGTTTAGATTTTCTGCCCGAACCCAGACTTAACCCGACCCACAGCCGTGATCAAGCATTTGTGTGTGTGTGTGTGTTTTGTCATTACATAATTTGCCTAATTGGGTGGAGAGCTATGTCATAATTAGACATATTATTTAAACAGTTTTGCAAAGTTGGCCTAAGCAACACGTGTAGGTCTACAAAGTTGCACAATTCGCAGCGCATGTCATGTACATTAACGCTCTAGCTACTGCAGCAGCATCTCCTCCATTGGCACACATTCACACCGCATACGCAAGCAGAGCTGAAGTGTGTATATAGTAGAGCTGTAATCAGCCCATAAAAGTTAGGCCCGACAGAATTCAGCCCGAGCCAGTACATTTTGATTGACTGCTTTTTAAAAGCCCGAACTCATTTATAGCCCAACATTATTTAAATGTGCACATGCATACAGCTCTTTTGCCTTTTTTCATGAATAAGTCGTTTATATGTGTATTAACATAATTTATTCATACCAAATGTAGGCTATAGGCCACTTGGAAGTTGGAATAAAGAAATAAAATAAGTCCTCTGTAACATTGTATCATCTCTGCACTCTAAATAGGCCTAGGTACATACACTTAGCCTTTAAATTGGCCAACACACCAATAAAAATAAGGCTTTCTTAATAAATTAAATTAAAATATATTCTAAATTATGACGGGTATTATTTGGCAATAATGAAATTAGGATAAAGGCTCTGTGGGATTTGTTTTGCCACTTCTCTTCACAATCTGGCATTAAGGTGGCGATGAAGCAGATTATTAAGCGGATTATTAAAAAAATAATGCCAACATAAGCCTATATAGCCTTACTTTGTCTAGATTATGATTTTAAGGTTTAATTAATATTTTGTTATAATTTGAAAATCCTTTACTCACCAAGATTAGGTTTTTGTGGAGGAACATTATTGAATCCATTTCTGCGCTTACTGGGAAGCACTAAACACCCTTTCACTGCTGCTGCTACTGGCCGGGATGCATACTGTTCTAGCTAATTTAGCATGTTTTGGGTAGGATTGTTTGTTCATCTTTTACCTGTCAAGAACATCAATTTCATTTTTTCATGACAGCAGTTTTAATGTTGTGAGTGACCTCGTCATCTTCCTTGTCATCTTGCTGTACACTGCTGTTTAGCGCTCTACCGTAATACGCAGTGTATGAGTGACCGCCGAAATACTTTGGAGGCTAGAATGACCGTTCTTTTTGAACTGATGGCTGGCCTTACTAGTCAAAATTTACTCTTTTTGACGACTCCATTATCATTTGTTTCACTTTTGCAGGGATGGATTTTAATTTTGGATTTAATTTTTTTTTTTTATTACTTTCTCACGCTAATTAAAATGCATCACATGACTGTTCATTTACTGTACGAGCCCAAGCCCGGCCCAACGCCATCTACAATGATCAAAATTAAGTCTGAACCCGCCCGAACCTGTCGCGTCCCATCTGGTTCGGGCAAAAATCTTCAGCTCTTGTATATAGAGCAGGCATCTATCTAGCACTGATGTGCTGCTTCTGTTGGCAGTATGAAAGCTACAATCTGTTAACATGGACAGCGAAAAAAAAACAAACATGCGGTGTGAAAGAGGCTTAGCAAAAAAAAAAAAACAGAGACTTCCACGATTAACAAACACATGAAGCAGGCTTGCCATGGCAGAAAGGCCGATAGTCACCCTTCAGTATCCTCTTTTGTACGGATCCACTCTGAATAAACAAACAATGCAGTTTACATGCTTTGTCCTTGTTGCAGTATTGATTAAGATAAATCTAAACTAATTTCTGTAGTTTAAACGCCTCAGAATTGTAGTTGAGAACGTCTGTTAAAATGGCCCACATATTAAAAAATAGTCACGTTTAAATCAGGCTTGGGCTCATGATTACAGTTAATGTGTCAAACCGGGTCGGGCTCGAGCACAAGGTGCACGGGCTTGTGTTGGGTGGAGGTTAATATTTTGTGCCCAATCTAAGCTCTAATATGTAGTAAACACTGCTGCATCTTAACGCATGTGCTGGAGGTTTACTAGAACCGACTTTACTGACAAAATACGCATGATTAAACCGACCCAGCCCTGGCCATAACAGGATCTCTTTTTTTTTAAAATGTGATTCTATTCTTATGAAAATACCTTTGAACATTGTTTCCTATCCCTTCACACCCCGGTCCAGGAAGTCATATCTTCAATACCCCAAGGAATGCTTCCTCTGCCGCCTCCAGAATGGGCACGGCGATAAGAGCACCGGACAGATATGCATCTCCCTGGGTCTCTGTAATGAAGTTTGACACTCGTACCATTAATAATGAACGATGCATTCACGGGCCGCAGGAGAGAACAGAGGAAGTCTTATTTCAGACTGCTCGCTGGGTATTTTTATATATTCGTGTCATCTTTCATTATACCGAGCGAATATTATGCGTGATTTGTGCCACATTGAGAAATGAGATACAAACACGTGCACGTTGGCACTACCAGGGGTTTATTCAACTAGAAGTGTACTCGTCCAAATGATGAAACACATCTGCAAGTGTCCAAGGCAGATGGTTTTGGTCAGTGGTCGACTGGATTGGTTTTGTTTAAGGGTGATGTCGGTATCCTAGAAAGCAGGATGTGCTAAGAAGGTTATTAAGAGTTTGTATTAGTTTTTTTTTCCTGTGATGTCATTATTGAATTTTTAGTAGTCGTTACTCGAGTCTTTAGTATTACACGATTCTTCAGAAATAGTTCCAACATTTCATTAAATTGATCAACATTGGCATCTCTAATTTACAAGGAATTTATAATGTTAGAAAATAGAGTTCTGTTTCAAATATCAGAGAAAAATAAAGAAATGTATGTCAATGTCTGTAAAATAGTTTTGCAAATATTACATGCAGATTTAAAAAAAAAAAAGCGGATATATTAATATCCACCGGAAAAAGCTGGTTTGCCATCTCCAGGTTGGAGGAAAGTCCTTACCCCAGGTGGAGGAGTTCACTTATATTGGGGTTTTGTTCTCAAGTGAGGGAAGAATGGAACATTACATTGACAGGCAGATTGGTGCAGTGGTAGTAGTAATGCCGTCGATGTACTTGTCCGTTGTGGTGACGAAGGAGCTGAGCCGACAGGCAAAGCTCTCGATTTACCAGCCAGTCTACATTCCTACTCTCACCTATAGTCATGAGCTTTGGGACAAGACCGAAAGGACAAGATCTTGCATACAAGCGGCCTAAATGAGTTTCCTTTACAGGGTGGCACTGCGCACCCTTATAGATAGGGTGAGGAGCTCTACCACCCAGGAGAAGCTCAGAGTAGAGTGGCTGTTCCTCCACATTGAGAGAAGTCAGCTGAGGTGGCTCAGGCTGAGGATGCATACCTAGGAAGGTGTTCCAGGCATGTCTCGCTGAGAGGAGGCCTTGGGCTGGCGTGTGAACGCCTCGGGATTCCCCCCAGAGGAGGTGGAGGAAGTGTCTTGATAGAGAGAAGTTAAGAGGTTCTCTCCTAAGATTGCTGCGACCGCGATCTTGCCCTGGAAAAGCGGATGAAAATGAATGAATGAATATATATTAATATTTTATTTGTGGGGGAACATATTTACTAACTGCTGCGAGTGCCTCGTTTTTTTTACTGCCTGTTGCACCTCGTGTTTTTTTTCCGTTGCGTGCTGTTCGCACGGAAAAACGGAAAAAAAACAAAAAAACAATCTGAGTGGAAAAAGCATGTTACGTCAGTCACTTGTTAATTTTCCAATCAAATTAAAGCAGAGGCTTCCATGGAGGTGACAGCAGTGTTTGCGTTGTCTAAATGACTACAGAGACTTTTAAAGATGGAGGAGAGTCTTGGGGTTTGCTGTTTTAAGTTATCCACTGCTGTATGACTTACAAATCTTGAATATCACAATAGTAATAAATATAACTGTTACCACCTCTTTGATGTTAGTCTAGGTTAAAAGGAATAACATTTGAAAGGTGTGGTACTTTC